ATCCAGCAGCACATCAAAAAGTTTATTCACCACAATCAAGTAGGCTTCATCCCTAGGATGCAAGGTTGGTTTAACATACACAAATCAATAGATGTGATTCATCACATAAGCAGAACTAAAGACAAAAACCATATAATTATCTCAATAGATGCATAAAATGCTTTCAATAAAATTCAACACCTCTTTATGTTAAAAACTCTCAATAAACTGGATTTTGAAGGAATATACATCAAAATAATAAGAACCATCTATGATAAACCCACAGCTAACATCATACCAAATGGGCAAAAGCTGGAAGCATTCCCCTTGAAAACGGGCACAAGAAGAGGATGCCCTCTCTCACCACTCCTATTCAACATAGTACTAGAAGTCCTGGACAGAGTAATCAGGCAGGAGAAAGAAATAAACAGTATCCAAATAGGAAGAGAGGAAGTCAATCCATCCCTGTTTGCAGGTGACATGATTCTATACCTAGAAAACCCAATAGTCTTGGCCCAAAAGCTCCTTCAGCTGATAAACAACTTCAGCAAAATTTCAGGATACAAAAATCAATGTACAAAAATTACTAGCATTCTTATACACCAACAAAACACAAGCTGAGAGTCAAATTAGGAACACAATCCCAATCACAATTACCACAAAAAGAATAAAATACCCAGGAATACAGCTAACCAGGTAATAGATCTCTACAATGAGAATTACAAAACACTGCTCAGAGAAATCAGAGATGACACAAATGGAAAAATATTCCATGCTCATAGATAGAAAGAATCAATATCATTAAAATGGCCATACTGCCCAAAGCAATTTAGAAATTCAACGCTATTCCTATCAAACTACCAATGACATTTTCACAGAACTAGAAAAAAACTATTTTAAAATTCATATGGAACCAAAAAAGAGTGTGAATAGCCAAGGCAATCCTAAGCAAAAAGAACAAAGCTGGAGGCATCATGTTACCTGACTTCAAACTATACTACAAGGCTACAGTAATTAAAACAGCTTGGTACTGGTGCAAAAACAGATACATAGACTAATGGAACATAAAAGAGGTCCCAGAAATAAGACCACACACCTACAGCCATCTAATCTTTGGTAAAGCTGACAAAAAACAAGCAATGGGGAAAGAACTCCCTATTCAATAAATGGTGCTGGGGTAATTGACTAGCCATATGCAAAAGATTGAAATTGGACCCCTTCCTTACACCACATACAAAAATCAACTCAAGATGGATTAAAGACTTAAATGTAAAACCCAAAATCATAAAAACCCTGGAAGACAACCTAGGCAATACCATTCTGGACACAGGAATGGGCAAAGATTTTATGACAAAGATGCCAAAAGCAATCATAACAAAAGCAAAAATTGACAAATGGGATCTGATTAAACTTAAGAGCTTCTGCATCGTAAAAGAAACTATCAACAGGGTTAATGGAAAACCTACAAAATGGGAGGGAATATTTGCAAACTACACATCTGGAAAAGGTCTAATATCCAGCATTTTACAAGGAACTTAAACAAATGGACAAGAAAAAAACAAAAAACCTCATTAAAATGTGGGCAAAAAACAGACACTTTTCAAAAGAAGACATACATGCGACCAACAAGTATATTTTAAAAAGCTCAATATCACTGATAATTGGAGAAATGCAAATTAAAACCACAATGAAATACCATTTCATATCAGTCAGAATGGCTATTACTAAAAAGTCAAAAAACAGCAGATGCACCTGGCACAGC